ATATATAAAAGGATTACAGAACACAACCCAGGGCTCCCTCCTTCAGACAAGCTGCTGGAGAAGAGCAGGGAAAAAAGCACCTGGAAACACAGAGTCTAATACATCTATCAGTTTTGGGCTAGCCCCTTACACAGACAGCTGTAAAAACATCAGGAGTTGGAGACAGTCCGACGTCTCCTTCTTTTATCTAGAGCTCCGCATGCTTGGAGCAGCTGGACATAACAAAATGAAGAATTCCATGTGTGTGTGTATGTTGTAGGCATGATGTATAACTAAAACATCCATTCAGACATAATTCTTACACAAGATTAAAACAAAAAAACAATTGGTGTCATGGCTTACTGCTAACCTTGAAACAGAGCAGACTAGAGCAGACTTTGAATCTTACTAAATTGCAATACTAACATTAATGTTTAACAATTATCTGACGGATTTACTAATATCTAACAACACCATCATCCGGGACATCCTCCACTCCAAACTGACCCAGCTCACTGTGCCTGCCCCCACCTGTCAGTGGATTTATATTTCTGACAGACAGGAAGCAGCAGGTGAGGCTGGGGAAAACCACATCCAGCACCCGGACAATAAGCACAGGCACCCCCCAGGGATGTGTGCTCTCCCCTCTGCTGTTTTCACTCTACACTCTGTCAAGTTCCTAAAGTTTGCTGATGATACAATGTCAAGCTCCTAAAGTTTGCTGATGATACAACGGTCATTAGTCTCATCTAAGACCATGACGAGCCTACAGCCTACAGACGGGAGGTTGAGCAGTTGGTCCTGTGGTGTAGCCGCAACAACCTGGAGCTGAACACGCTCAAAACAGTGGACTTCAGGAAGAACCCCCCCACCTTACCCCCACTCACTATACTTGGCAGCACTGTATCAGCAGTAGAGTCCTACAAGTTGCTGGGCTCCACCATCTCCCAGGACCTGAAGTGGACATCCAACATCAGGACCATCATCAAGAAGGCACAGCAGAGGATGCACTTCCTGCACCAGCTCAGGAAGTTCGACCTGCCTCAGGAGCTGCTGATACAGTTCTACAGAGGAATCATCGAGTCTGTCCTCTGCACCTCCATCACTGTCTGGTTTGGCTCCACAACCAAACAGGACAAGAACAGATTCCAGCGAATAGTCAGGACTGCAGAAAAGGTCATTGGTGTGAGCCTGCCCCCCATGGAGGACCTGTACACCGCACGGGTCAAAAGGAGGGTGGAGAGGATCACTGCAGACCCCTCACACCCCGGACAAAATCTGTTTGAACTCATCCCCTCTGGATGGCGTTACAGGTCATTGTGCGCCAAGACAACCAGGCACAGGGACAATTTCTTCCCCCAGCCTGTCACGCTGATGAACATTTAACCCACAACAGTATGACTGGACAATAACCCTCAGTGCAATACCTGTAAATATACATTGTACAGATTATACAGACTCATACAGGCCTCTAGTTTTAAGTACTCTGTTGAAATGAGATAAATAAAAATAAGAACAAACATTCCTTTGTTGTCTGCATTGTTTACTGCTTGTTTACACAGCTTATTTTGCAATGTTTGTTGCTGTTAATACTGCTTATTTTGTTATATTACACAGCCTTGTGCTGGTTTACTGTTGTGCACATTGAGAGCCAATGTACCTGAGTCAAATTCCACGTGTGTCCGTCGCACCTGGCCAATAAAGCTGATTCTGATTCTGATAACTTCTTACAGAAAACGGCCCTGACCAGTGATCATCATCCAAGTCTGGGTGACTGGCCTTTTGTGAGGGGAAAGTTGGACGTGAATGTTTGTCATGTAATATATCGGTGCGTCTTTTCGTTCTCTCTGGTGTTTCTCCTCCAGTGGAGGAACACTGGTGCTTTTGGTTGGATCTCCTTTACATCTTCTCTCCTTTTTAGCGTATCCCTATTAAAACATGTTTAGACTTTGTTCCTCCACCATCTTCTTTTGGCTTCTCTCTTATTCACCTGTTGCTTGACCCTGAGAAATGAAGAAAAATTCATATCTGCCATAAGTGTGTCAGTTCTGCTTGTGCTTACAGATGAACTGTTACATTACATTTGTTTTATTAGCAGAAAAAAATCTCATTAACCTTAATGTCGATTAAAAGAGCAAAGACACAAATATTGTACTGAATAACACTTAAAATGATTAAAAGTGATAGATGGAAAGTACAACAGGAAAAGGACTAAACTTGTGTTGCTGATGTTTAACCGGCATTTTGTAGTGTTAAAACATCATTAGTAGGTTCAGTGTTATGGCCTCAATATGATTTAAAGACAGCATATTTAGATTATGCCCGAGAAAATAAATACAATCTATATCAAGTTAACAAAAGATTTATCACCGGACATCACTTGATTCCTTATCTCCTTTCCTTCCTTATGGCATCAAATCTTGAATCAGTTGCACTTTCTTACCTTTATTTGTCTTCTTCGTTTCTTTCGCTTTTACTAATGTTAATTACATGCGAGGACTGACAACATAATGTCAGTGCTATTAGGCCTAATGGAGAATAAAGATCATTCACTATGAAGTTTTCAGTTGAGCTATTTTGACCTGATGTGGATGCGCACCCTGCCCCAACCCTCCAGTCTGGTTCTGCGTTTGAATCCTGTCCAACACTGACAGGTGGTGGGATGGTACTTGCTCCATGTCCCGACCAAACCATGATCCTGAAGAGGTGACCCTAATATTTAAACACGGAAGGAGCACAGATCTGTTGTAATGCACAAACAGGCCTTGACTGTGGTTGTTCCGCTTCAGTTTTTCCGCATGTGATAAATGAACCAGCTATGTTTTTTGTTAGGACAGTTAATGAGAGGCTGCTATTTCATACATAAACTGTTCCTACCTGGATGTTCTGATGGACCCGTCGCGACACCTTGAACACTTTAACCTTCTATCCAGGCTCAGGCCCAGTTAACGCTGCTCTTTGACTTGAACTGCGCATAAAACTTCTGTGTTACCTGAAGCCAGGCCCAGTCACACACACCCTATTGTTTTATGTACTCAGTTTCTATTTACATTACTATTGCACACAGTTATCAATCAAAAATCAGTTTACCCGGGAAGAAAAATCTGTTTTCAATTCTTAACTAATTATTAATTATACATTATCACAAAAAGGCGTTTCTCCTGGGGTGCATTATTAAACAATGCAGTTTGCAAAATGATGTTCAAATGGCCTTATATTCTCAGGTCAACAGTCAAAAAACATCACAGTCATCTGTGAACTATACTTTTGGAAACAACCACTCATCAGTAAAAAAAACAAACAGTGCAATATGTCAAATCCACATGTGAAGCAAAGGCAAAACTGAAAACAAAACGGACTATGTATGTTTACTGCTCTATATATTCCCTTTTATTTGCAGCAGGTCATAATTCACACCAATAATTAAAAGAGAAACAAAAGTTCATTTTAATGACAAAGGTTAATAAAAGCTTAAACATAAATGACCGAGAAAGACATTTCAAACTGACAAAAGTGAATAAGAAACAAACAAAAGCTTTATTAACAGTGACCTGCATACGGAACCAACCCTTGTTTGAGAAAACGCCTCTTGGCCTCCGTCACTCCTCGGCTCCACCGGCCATCCTGACCAGGCTGTTCTTGTCAAACCGGAACACTCTCCAGCCCTCCTCCTGAGAGAGGTCCTCGGCACCGTGTCGCTTGTAGAACTGGACCGCTGGCGCGTTGTTTTCTGCGACCACAAACATGATGCCGGTGCAGCGTGTCTTCATCGCCAGCTGGAAGAGGCAGAGTTAGAAGGGTTCCAGTCAGTCAGTGTGCTCAAAAATTAAAGTAGCAGAGTAGAAGATTTTAGTCCTTTATACATTTCCCACAGTGAAACTTAACTCCACACCTCAAGTCTGTAAAACTGTTTGTGTTAAAATGCAATAAAACGTCAAAATGAGTCCAAAGAACTGAAAGAACGTGTTTGACAGTGACATGAAAACGGGCTTGCAGATTTGGGCTGTTCTTATTTTGCTGTTTTTTTTTTGTTTAGTTTTGTTTAGTTTTTATCGATTTAAGTTCTCCTAATTTTTATCCCTTTAGTGACGTGTGTCACCGCAGCACGGATGTGGATCAGGTGAGTCAGCTGCTGTAGGAGCTGCACAGCCCCCCACAGATAGACACAACAGAGTAACACACAAATACACTTTCACTGTACAAAAATCTCCTATTTATTAAGTTTTGCTTAACTTTAAATATTTTAAATCTCTAATGTTAAGTTTTTATTTAAAAACATTCAAGCCTTTAAACCTTTTTCCTCAGTCTCAAACTGAGCCTAAGCTCCGTGACTCTGTCACCGTTTCAATGACAAAAATGAGACTAAAACAAAATAAAAAAAGTAGCATTTGACAACAAGAACTGAATAAAAACTAAATGAGCAAATATCTCGATGTTAAGTCTTATTCAGCAACCTGCAGCAGTGATCAGTGAAACAGTTTGAACATCCTGTTCTGAAGATGGTTCAGATTCGTGACAGGTTGCATTCAGTGACATTCTCTCATCTGACGTTAGCACTTCTCTGAAGAAACAGGATTAAAAACTAAATTCATCTACAATCACTTGAGAATCAGACAAGATGACACTAATGCAGCTGAGACAAACGAGGAAACTGCAGCAGCAGTCGACACCTATGGAGAGGTCAGATCATTGAACAGGAGGTGCTGTGCATCAGTTGGGTCAACATGAGTGTAGGTTGAGTCAACATACTCACATCACTGAGGTGATGCAGGATCTTGGAGCCGATGCCCAGCCCTGTAAAGACAGAGCTCATCAATAAAGACGCTGCTATGAAGCAGGTAATGTGGGACTGGAGGTGCTGCGGTTACCTCTGTACTGATCCATCACATAGAAGTCCTCCAGGTAGAGCTGCTTTCCAATCCAGGGGTCATAGGTGAAGTAGTACATGGCAAAACCCAACACCTTGGGATCTGGAGTGACACATAGGAAGTTTGGATGAAGATGAATTTATTCATTGTCTCACTTAAGTTTAAAATATAAATATATGGTGTATTATATAACAATTTTTATACATATTATTTTGATGTATATTGTATACATATATTTGTATGTGTTGTACTTACACGTAGAGTCACCGTACTACATCAGAGTCATCTGTCTTGACCCATTACGTACGTGCATATTTGGACAAAGACTTGGTACAACAAACATTTCATGTTCATGGTCTATGGTGTCGTCCTGCTGTATGTAATGCACATTTACAGCATCTGAGTTTACTTTATGTATTGCATTTTCATGTCAAACAGCCATGGAGGAGATCTGGGCAGCTAAAAGTCTGAACCAGTGGCTGCCAGAGTGGAAGAGGTGACATCTTTTGCACAGAGAGAGTGGGACAAAGAAAGAGCAACAACCAGGGTTAACATGGGTTTGGCTGTTTGACATGGAGAGGGTTAAAAGCAGCCAGAGGACTCAGACTGGATCCAGATGTGGTGTTCTCCCTTCTGGATGTGTTAGTATCTAAAGCTAACCTGTTTGTTTTGGCCACCTAGCTGAACGTTATGCAAAGAGGCTGCACTCATTTGTGTGTGTGTGTGTGTGTGTGTGTGTGTGTGTGTTTAAGTGTAGGTGGAGCGTTTCATACCATCACTGCTGTTCTCTCCTTGGATTTCAGCAATGATGCAATGGTAAAATGGGGTGTCACCAAAACCGTCCTCAAGGAGATCTGCAAGGAAATAAATTTTTAAGTACAAGAGGAATAGTACACACAATGTGAGACAGAAGGTGGTAACTTAAGAGCTCACCTTTCTCAGTCAGCTTAACCTGGTGCTCCATCTCTTCATATTTTGCGAGCTCCTGGGACAAAGATAAAACAAAGTTTGACTTGACTTGTTTATATGAATAACTATTTCTTAATATTAGTAGTACATGACTGTTGAACATTGGCTATTGCACTTGTAGTTACAACCTACTATTAAAATGGTAGGTTTTTTTTGTTGCTGTGGTCGATGCATGAGG